CTCTTATGAGCATTCCTATGAACAGCTTCAACTCGAGTTGTCAGGCCACTTTTCTTGCAGTACATTTTCTCTTTCTTTCCTACAATCTTTTGATCCCCTTATAAACTAAACAATCATAAGAATGTGTCATTTCTATCATACTTTTATCCCTGAAAGGATCTCTCAGAGCCATTTGTGAATTTACCAGGAGGCAATGAATAAACTATGAGTTAAATCATCTTATGAAGCATCCAAAGTATCTTTCAAACTTTGGTTGAAAGATAATTTTGTTGCATGGAATCCTCCCGCAGAATCCGGTCCAGTGCGTTCAGGCTGACTTATTCGGAGATTGTTTTTCACTGTGGGCTTTGTGCCTGTGTCTCAAGGAGCCCATTTGTGGGTTTCTTCACATACTTCACAACTGCATCTTCTGGATCTGAAAAAATAATGGAATTAGAGCTCCAGCAGGCAGTCATTCTCACTGCCTTTAATACCTTTAATTTTATAGATAAAGAAACAGAGGCCAAAAGAGGTTAAGCTGCCAGCCAAGTTCACATGGTTATTTCTGGCTATACTAGGATGTGGAACCAAGTCCTCTTTAAGAAACATTTTCAGTAATCAAAAGGCCTGTGATAAAAGGAATCCTTAAATTCTCCCCTCGGTAGGTTCTTCCATCCCACTTGGCTAGAAGAATTAAATTGAGTTCAATGCATACATGAGAGATGTTTCCGCATGTAGCTACCTGCTAGTTCATCACAGCTGAGGAAGCTTCATTAATAATTTTGAAGAAAGAGCAGGTACTTTGGAGGATTCTTCAGCTGGTGCTTAGTTTGGAGTTGGCCTATTCTGGTGATTCCACCATTCAAATGATAAATGAAGCGCCGATCATTTATACTTATGAAGAATTCTTTGTTCTTTGTTTCAATGGGGAAGTTGGCATTTCCAGTCTCCAGAGTACTTCCCGTGGTATGTAGTGCTCTTTCTCACCTACCAAATTTGGCTTCGGGTTTTTATGTGATTTTTCTGCAGCTCCTCTATAGAGCTTGCACGCAGTCCTGAATATTTAAATAGCAGAACTGGATCACAACTGAGAAATGTGCAGTCTAGTTGTTTTCCATGTGTCCCCGCACATCTTTGTTTACTGGCAAAACACCTCAAATCTCATGCAAAATGCTAATAAGGTAATTCACTTTATTTATCTTCATTTTGTTCATTTCACTCTTCTTGGTTAGAATGCAAAGATTTTTATAATAGCCTCGAAAATTGCATATATGCTAACTAAATAGTAATTTTTAGACAGAATATAAACAGGAAAAATTATCCAAAGATACAAACCCTGGAAAATCGCTTTTCCTTCTGATTCTAAAGGCAATTCCTTTGACATATAAGTGAATACGCTTCTATTTTAGGAAGTGTGATTCTGAAAATTTTATGTTCAGTGCCCATTGAAACATTAAAACAATAGTTCTTCAAAATGGGCAGCCTTGTTAGTTCCTTTGGAAAAAAGTAGGCAGACAGATAAATAGTGGGTGCTGACGGGTAATCAATGTGTTTCATAACTTTTCAACCTCCCATAAATCCAGCCGTCCTTTTGACTGTTCTGATTTCCCTTGTTTTCCTCCTCTTCATGTTGTAACTTATCAAGCTCCGTCTTAAAAGATGCTAAGACAGGTAATTGCATCTTCCTGTGTATTAAAATTACGTACACCGGAGCTGCCCTCCCCAAATTTGATTGAACCATTGAATCTGCCACCTACACGGTCCAACCCAAGAAGCCGGGTCCATGTCCCATCCAAGAGAAGCCATGAGCTTGCCCTCCTTAAGTGACTTGGTGCTGCCTTTATATTTGTCGAAGTTGAGTGGGTGGTTTCTGCCTGGAGCCTGCCATGTCAGCACAGTTGGAGCACCTCCCCTGCCCAGTGTAGGCTCTCGCTCTGTCTGGGTTCTCTGTCACCTTGCTCTCTCTATTCACAGTCCTTAACCAACAGAGCCATTCAAGAGCCACAGCCTGCAAAATCTGATTCTCACCCCACAGTCAACAGCAATGCAACCGAGAGATGCTGAAGCATTTCCCATGAGGGAACTGTAAAGTCATGTAACTTTGTCTAGGCAAAAATAAAATAAGTCTATTCATTTTTTTTAAAAGCCTATGTATAATGTCGGGTTTAGACTATCTAAGAAATTAGTTAAAATTTGTCATAAATTTATCTCATGTGTTACATGATATCAGTTTACTAATTTATTAATAATGGAATGCTGAGGTATATGTAAAAATATATAGAACAGTTTCTTAAACATTAAAACTCTCAATTTCCATGAAAGTTTTCAAGCTGCCTGTTTGACAAGTAAACTTGATTTAAGGAGAAATTCTGATCTTTATGTCTGTCAAAGTCATCCTCCTGTTGAGTTGATAAGGCCCTAAGGCCATGGACCCTTTGAGAGGAGCTAAATCATCGTTGGAAGGCCAATTAATAGATGGGCAATAAATCCTCTTACAAGAAGCATGTTCTTAGCTGCCACAGTGGAGGAACTCATAGCCACAGCCACACCCTGCAGCTGTAATCCAGCTGGAGAGCCACCAAAAGTCTAATCCTCACATGGGCCAAAGCATGAGCAAGGGACAGATGTCCGGAAGCCACAGTGGAGCAAGAGAACTCAGCAGAGAGAGAGTGTGTGTAAAAAACACCCAACAGTAACCAAAACAACATGCCAACTAAGAAAAGCCAATGCATCTTCCAGATATTTTATTCATGATGATGGTGATGAAGAGGAAGAGGATATGATGTTCGGGCTTCCATCCTGTACTGCCACCCACAGTCCATAAATCAGACTGTACAATGGTTAAAGACTTGCCTAACTGTTGTTAGTCATCAGCATCATTCTCTGTGGCCCCTTGGCAGTGCTGTTTTTCAGTCTAATGTGTTGAAGGACCAGCATATTACATCTTTCTTATGGGGGTAAGAGCTACACAGCACATGACTAAAGAATCGCCTGTTTTGCATTGAGGAACCAAAATAATTTGCATTGAGTAAGCTCTGACAGTTCTTGTGGTTCCACTCCACTGGTTTATGCTTTACGGACAGCGTTTTCAGGCACTGCTGACACGCTAGGCAAGGGGCCGGCCGGAGGGCCAAATCCGGCCCACCACTTAATCTTTGTAAATAAAGCTTTCTTGGAACACAGACTTGCTTTTCATTTATGTAATACCTATGGCTACTTTCACATTATAGTGGCAAAGTAGAGTAGTTGTGACAGAGGCCATGTGGTGCACCAAACCTAAAGTATTTACTGTCTGGTCCTCTGAAGAAGAAAGAGATGACACATTTAAATTTCCAGACTGAAGACATTTAGAGAAGATGGCCTTGCTTTCACAGTATTGACACTAGATCCATCTGAAAAGTACATAAGCTTAAAATATCTCCATTAGAGGGAGAAATTCTATTTATCTTCACACAAATAGGTTTTTCTTTGTGCTAATTTCGCTGATCATCAAAATGGTTCCATTTACTTTTACTTATTAGTCCAAATCTGAAGCACCGTATTGCTTTACAAATTATCCTAGGGATACTGTCCATTCTTTTCCATTTGATTTATTACCTGAGCAATTAGAGAAGCTATTTCAAGGACAACCAGGTACCATCGAAAGCTGTGTGGCTCAGCTGTTGGCCAGCTAAGAAGGGCCTGCTTCTCCAGGAAGGAGAGACAGGGAATCGATTTTAGCAGAAGATGCGTGTTGTCTCAAGAAAGAAAGCGCCCCTGCAATGCCAAGCAGGCCTCTCTTGAAAAGGAACATCCACAGGGGATGAGTGTCTTCTTGTTTATGCTGCTGAAGCCAGATTCCAAGGCCTGCAGGAAGAGGCGGGGGCCAGTGAGAGGGACACCAGTGAGTAGAAGTCAAAAACTAACATGGGACTCCTTGAGCGCAAGACAGGCCTAACCTCAAAACTCTCACCTCAGGACAGGTGACACAGGTGATACCTAAACCAGGTGTCTCGCAGATATGAAGAGAGATTGTGGCAGCAACTCCAGGAAATTTCAAAACCATAGATTTGTGGGATGTGTGTAAAACTGGTGACAAGAGACGGACACAACACTTATGGCATGAAGAAAGCCATGTGTGTTTTTGATGCACACATAATGTCAGGAATCCGTTTTCTAACTAGAGAAAGGAGGTGCTGAGAGGGGTCCCTGGGTGTTGCTGTGGTTGATCCTGTCCCCTCCACCAGCTTCTCCGTGAACACGGACCTGGCTGAGAAGGGTGGCTTTCAGGGCTCTGAGTGGCCGAGTGTTCCTATCCCCTGCGTAGGATGCTGCTTTCAGACCAGCTCAGCCTCCCAATGACCCCTTGTTGAAGACACAGTGCGGTCAGGATGCCGGCCGTTCTCGGCGCTCTCCTGGAAAGAGGCGATGGCTCCTGACTGAGGAGAATGTTCTACAATCAGCCGTTTCCCTCAGGATGGAGGAGGGTGTTTATCTGACACCTCAGGAGTTGGTTTGGCGGTGCCTCCTGTGAGGGACAGTACAGTCCCAGCCCAGGGCTGCTAATGGATTCTGCCCAGGTTTTCCCTGGCTCCTTCTGGGGCATTTCGATGTGGAGATCTGCCTGCTCGCTTGCTGGTGCTGCCGTGGTCTTTGACTTCCCTCTCGTTTCACATGTCGAAGTGCACGTGCAGGAGAGTGAGGGTGTCTGTGTGCTGTGTATCTGATGTGCCCAGAATGTGAGGAAATAAAACAAAAAAGGACATAAGGCAGGGAAGAGGACGTGGACTAACATTCACCAGGCTGGGAGCTGACAGCCCTGTGGTAGGTATGTTATATAAATTTGTGGTCTCTTTTTAGGAACATATTTGAGGGGAACAGTCTCTTCTCACAAGGGATCCCCCAATGCATTGGGTCGATAAGGCCAAGAAAGCAGTGAGAAATCATTTGTATTTGTTTCCTATCTAATCAAGATAAAGTCTACTTGAAGCATCCATAGCACTCCCCATTTTTGCGTTCTTTTTCCTCTTTCCCTTTCCCATATAAGTAGATCCTTTCCTGGACCAAAAAAAAAACCATTCCATTATTCCTGACCGCTTTAAAATTAACAAAAAGATTTTCAAAGAATGCGAAAATGCAAATCCAGACTGGTTAGACATTCCTAAAACCCATAATGCTACTGGGGAGAAAAATGGGGTGTGTGGTGAGGAGGGGGTCCTTTTTGTTGCATATACACAAAAATGTATTTTGTGAAAGATTATCAGGGCACGGGAAAGCACTTATAGTTTAATGAGAATAACCACATTCTGTGCCACTCCTTTGGGCTGTCAGGCTATTGGTTTAAAAATGAAGCTTCACATTTAACATTGTGGAGAGATGTCTCAGGAAACAGTAGAGGAAATGAGATTTTCATAAAAGAGAAGTATAGAAAACTTTGCAAAATAATGTGACCAAAATCCCCTCCACTCAAGCATCTGAGACTCATTGGGGCTTTTGTGTTTTTGTCTCCAGGTTTCTAAACAGCATGGGATCTCATCTGAACTTGAGTTGTTATTTTTTCCAGAAATAGGAGTGCAGGAGAGGCCCTGGGAGGCAGCTGGGGAAAAATAGCTGCAGACTCATTCAATGAAGAGGGGAAAGGAGGCCAGGGGATTCCTGCCACCTGTCTCCTGGCTTCTGCCTCACTTCTACCCTCAGACCCCTCCTTGGGAAGTGCTAACGTCCCCGAGATGAGAGATGGGCCCATTGGGGGTGAACATGAAAAAGCATGAGCTGCACATGTTCTGCAGGTCCTAGGAGGAGTCCAGGTGTCACAGTCAGAGTGGGACATGAGAGGAGCATCCTAGGGCCTATTTCCAACTTCTCATCCCTCGCCTTGCTTTGGAAAGTGATCAAGGGCTATATATGCTGTTTATTGAGGACCAGCAAAGCAGGGGCACTGGGAAAATCTGGAACCATAATACTTTTTGAATGAATACATGAATGCGTAGATGAATAAGTATATACTCTTAGGACGTTTTTGTATTGTCTGGGCTGTGCGTGTCAACATAATCATGATATTGTCTATTACAGTCACTCATCAGTGACCCCCAGAGCTTCCTCTCTTCATTTGAATCGCTCTTTGTCCTTTCCCAAGAGATCTGTGTTCATCCAAAGCAATATTCTTTAAAGAAGTAGGGAAAATAAGTACAGGGATACCCAGATAAGGCTCAAGTTAAGAAAAGTCTACCTAGATTCCTGTGCATACTGGAAGTTCCTGCTTGAGCCTGAATCAGGTTTTTTGCTGAGTTTCAGACAGTTGTGGGTATGTTTGGTGGGCATGTTCTGAGTCCACCAGAGGTCTACTCTCTTGCAGGAGGTGGGCTCCATTGACATGGACATCTATGTCCTCACGCTGGGCAGACATCTTTAGCAGTAGTTGAAATGACCAGGTGTTGTCAGGTGGCTTTTCCAGCAGTAAAGGCAAGAGACCTCACTGAAGGGGCTAAGGCATAAAAGGAAGGAAATGGCCAGTGTCATTTGATAATGATAGGACATGTTTGGGGGACATGTTAAAAACCAAGCGAGGACTCCCAGAAATAACTGGGATAATTTGCGAAGATTGGAGATTATGTGTCTGTGGGACACAGGGAGTATTGTGTGCAAGTCATCCAAATATTTTTCTTAACTTATTCCTCTTGGTTGGAGCGTTGTGCCCAGTTTGAGCCTCTACCTTTAAAGAGAAATGGTACAAAAATAATCTAGTCAGGATCGCCATTGTCTGTCACTCTGTCAATCACCAGAGCTGATATGCTTAGCTGACTGTCAAAGCAAATGTGTCCTTCTCCTTTGATATCTTCAGCCTCAAATCTGAACAGCTCCATCAAAAAGGAAGGGTCTCCCTACCGTGATCTTCCCATCCACCAAGGTTCCAACAGAAAACAGATGGTTCACTCATTATGAGAACTCGAGGAGGGTTTATTTACAACAGGACTGATTACAAAGGTGTGGGCAGGCTTCAGAATCCTTCTCAACACAGAGCTCCAGGCAGCCCCTGTCAAACAACCAGAGTTGACCAATGAGATGACTCTGTTTTTCAATGTGATTTATATAGATTACTGTTAGTTGCATCTTCCCTAAGAACCAAGAAAGCAGAAGACTGCTTATCTATTTTTACATGAAGAAGTTATAGATATGTGGGAGATTCTCAGATGCACCAGGTTAAGAGAGGAGGTAAATTCTGAACAGAGAAAGAACCCCATCATAGCTCCCCAAGGCCAGGAAGCTACACATCTCTAACTCCAGAGAGTTTTATTACATATCATATTTATCTTTTTAATTCCCATCTACCCGGCACCTTATCTAGAAAATGTTCAACAGATATATCTTGAATCATATTGAATTGAATATAATTAAACTGAAATATAATAAACACTAAATAAGTGTTAAACCCATTTGTCTAAATTATGGCTGCTAACTCCTTCAGGATCTTATTTCTACAAGATAGAAAACAGATCTCACTTCTTCCCCCTGTAGATGGAGGCCAACATCTTGCCCGCTCCATTTCTCGCCTGATTGCTCAATGATCTCCCTCAATTCAGCCAAGTGAACGACTGAACCCCCTTCAGGATATACAAAATATCTCCAAATCCTCACATGCTCTCTCATCTTCCCCATTTGCCTCTTCGGCACCCCAGCTATTGAAGCAGCCTCCTCCAACGTTTTATAATACCATCCAGAGCCCGTGTTCTCACACTTTAATGTGCATGTGAGTCTCCTGGCGATCTTGTTAAAACAGCACCGATTGCTGGGCCCACTCCCAGAGTTTCCGATTCAGTAGGCCTGGAGCCCAAGAATTTGCATGATTAACAAGTTCCCAGATGCTGCTGATGCTGCTGGCTCAGGGACCACCCTGTGAGAAGCACTGATTTAAAGGGATGCTTCATAGATCCTAAGGATACGTTCAAATTACTTGGGAAGCTTTAAAAAATATATGTCTGTGCTGGCGCTCAACGCTCATATATTCTGATTTAATTGGTCAAGAGTGTGGCCCAGCCATTGGTATTTTTTAAGCTAACATAGGTTATTCTAATGTGCTACAGGATTGGGAACCACTGACTCAGAAACAATGGAAATGGCAAAATGCTATAAGAGAAGGACGAAGGATAGCATTGAAGGTACAACATAAGGGTATGTTTTGTTCCCACTAGACTAGTGAAGTGTGGTAATTAGGGGCAGTAGTGATGTAGTGGTTTTGCCTCAATCTCAGTCTTTTGCCTTAACCTCTTAACCAGATCATATTAAATTTGTAGAAGACTCTGATGGAATGTTATTAAAAAATGCTTTGTGCTCCTAGGGAGAATGTTAACTTAGTAGGACTATCTATTGGAGGATTGAAAAAAGAAAGGAAGGGCTACAAAGAAAGGAGACGCTAAGGGCAAAAGATAAAACAGTATCTATTTGATGGCAGAAATTTATTATATAATCCACACACAGCCATTCTTGCTAATGTTTGTAGTTCTTATACTTAGCTCTCATTGAAGGCCTAAACCAATGTCTGGTATGTGATGCATGGATGGATGGACTCACACATGGACAGATGGGTGGATAGATGCATGCATGCACAGCCAGCCAGACAGATGCATGGATGGATGGGCAGATAAGATTAAGCTAAAGGTGACCAAAGCTCCTCAGTCACTTTGAAGTGACAGAATAGTGGACACTTTTTTTATTCCCACATTCTTTATCTTTTAACATCACATTGTTTTAGCATTTGTTTTGATTAATTTTTCATATAAAGGTAGCCTTATTGAAATGAGTATATTCTTTATTTAATTTCATTAGCTGTCTCAATTTCTGTTGTAACAACTCAGATTCTCTTTCAAAGTGCAGTCTTCCTGATTGCTAACATTGGCTTTATGGCAAATAATCCTAATAATTCTAAAAGTATTTGCTGTGTAGGCCCTCCGTTTTTGTCCTGTTTTTTTTTTGTTTTTTTTTTTAGTGGGTTTAATGCCTGGCAACACACGCAAGTCCCATTGTTATTCCCAGAATGATTTCAACTCAACATGACCAGAATTATTTCAGTATTTTCCCTGGTTATTACTTCACAATACCTTGTCTTAGCCTTGGGGCCTCACATTGGGGCCACAGCCTCTGATGAATAAAGCCAGAATCATTTCTCTCTTAACAGTAACCTATTTATCTGTTTGAGGTAAGAAACTTTTTTTCAAGTTATAAAAAGAATATTGCATGCTTTCTACTTATTTTTAAAGGAACTTTCACATCTGCTTCTCATTCAGTCCTCTCGACACTCCTATGCAGCAGGCAGGCTAGATGATTGATATGGCCATTTGTCATACGGAGAAACCCGGGCGCAGAGGTAAGGCAATGTAATGTACTGAGCGACCTTCTGGTTAATGGTGGAGGCAAGCCCGGAGGCAGGCTCTGGATCCCAGTCCATTTTCCCCTCTCTGGGCTATTTCCTATGCTGTAGCCAGGCTATTTGTTACTGGCTTGAGGGGAATGATGAAGAGGAAAAAAATAGAAAATTATTGACTGAAATTCCTAGAAAGAGTTGGGTGCGTTGATCAACAATTTTAAGAGTTTTTATGTCTAGTTTGCAGAGAAAGGGTAGAAGGGCGTAGTTCTGAGATATAAAAGCAAAATTGCTATCAGCCTTCCCAGAGGAACCTCTCTAGTGGCAGGAACACCTTATGCAAGCCCAGAGTCCTGGTCATCCCCATGGGCACAACTCCAGAGTTAAAGTATTATTAATTTACGTCCTCATCAAAAATCTGTTGAGCCCCTCCTGTGTGCCAGGCGCTACACTGAGCCTAGAAACACAGAGATAAATAAGACATAATTTGTGCCTTTGAAGCATTCATGGTCCAATTGAGAAGATCTTCGTGTAGATGGGTATTATCAGTGTAATGGATGAGGCCATGATCAAGCTGGGGGGACACAGCAGAGAGATTCACTAGTTCGGCCTGGTGGAGTAAGAGGGGGCATCGCAGCTTCTCTAAAACAGGGATATGTGGCTGGGTTATCTCAACGTGAATAAGAGAGAGAAGGTGAACAAGGTGTGGGGCCGCATTGCACTGACGTTGCAGGCCATGGTGAGAAGTGAGTCTCAACTTTATTCTTAGTGCAATGTCAAGCCACTGCAGGCTGTTAGCAAAGGAATGGAACAATGTGGCTAAGGCCTTCCCTTCCTCCCTTGCCCATTTTCAACACCAAAGTTCTAGGAAATCTGACAGAGACTGGCAATTAGAGGATTTCCTTTGCTCCGTTGCACAGGAATGAAAAGGCAGCAGCGTAAGAGGAATGCCAACTCATCCAAGGTCCCACCCCTGTGAGGTAGTGACCCACGCTGGTCACTGGTATGCATGGGACTGTCCCTGAAGCTATCCTGAAGGAGAGGGCACCTCTGGGGCTTTTGTCTTGCTTGAAACCTGCTGAGAAGCAGGAACTAAGAAAGTGAAAAAAGAAGATGTGAGACCTCTGAAAATCTAGGGAAGAAAAAGATTCCAGAAGTAGCTATTAGTCAAAGGTGTCATGTGATAGAAAAAGGTCAAGTAAAATGAGGACTTTACAAAGGCCACTGGATTTGGCAATGAAATCCTCAATGACCTTGACAGGAACTGATTCAGTAGAGCAAGGTTTCTCAGCCTCAGCACTGTTGACGCTTTGGACTGGACCATTCTTTATTGTGAGGTTTTCCTGTACATCATAGGAGGGTTAGCAGCATCCCTTGCCTCTACCCACTGGATGCCAGTAGCATCCTCCCCAATCATGACAACCAAAAATGTCTCCAGATGTTAGCAAAGGTACCCTGGGGGGTAAAATCGTCCCCAGTGGAGAACGTGTGCAATGGAATGGTATGGATGGAAGCCAAATTGTGATGGGTCTTTTGAGAGGTCTGGCAGCCAGGAGCAGGCAGGAGATGGCATTTCGCTGGGGGAGGAGGTGGGGTTAGGAGGAGGTTGGTGGTGGTGTTGTGTTTTGTTTCTAGTGGAGAACACATGTATTTGCCCTAGGGAAAGAACTAGAAGAGAGGGAAAGGTTAAAGACAAGGGATAGTCATGGGGCAACATTCATTTCATTATTTCACAAATGTTAAGTATCTTCAGTTACCACAATCCGTGCCAGGCACTGCGGAGCCATGGTGAGCAAACGAGGGGTTCTTTGTTCAAAAATGATTGAAAATTTCAAAACGACAGCAGAACATTGAACCCCCAACACAGGACCCTTCTAAGAAGGAGCCCCTGTACAACTGCCCAGGTCATAGGCTTGTGAAGCAGCCCTCGTGGTGAACGGGACAGATATGGCCCCCGCCTCACAGAGCTTAACCCCTGGGGTCCTGGAGAGATGGGTAAGAACAGGAAATGTAACAGGCACCAGATGGGGAGCCACAGGACTGCTGTGCATGCTGTAGAGGCACTTAACCAAGAGGGTAGTGAACAGAGGAAGTGATATTTAAGATTTAAGCTACAATCTTGGGGATTGTTGCAGTTAGCCAGACAAAGAGGAAGGGAAAGAGTGCTTAGATACAAGGAAGAACATGCAAATCTGGAAGGAATCAAGAGAAGAGGGTTATGTCTAGAGGACAGGATGGGGGGGATTCTTGGCAAGTGGCCAGATCATGAAAACTTTTATAGGACATTGGGTATTTTGACTCCCTCCTGCAGGCACTGGGAAGGCATGTATAGTTTTCAAACAGGGAGTGGTGGGACCAGATTTGCATCTGTCTGGGGTGGAGGAGGACTGGAGTGGGATAGGCTGGCAGCTACCAGGAGAGATGCTGGTGGCCTGCTTTCCCAAGGTGGTGGTGGTGGGCTGGAATGAAAAATGGTTTGGACTTGGTGGTTGATCGGCTGTCGAGGGTGAAGTACAAGGATAATGATTCCAGTTTCCTGGCTTGGGCAGCTCACTAAGGATGGGATGTAAAACTAGTGATCCGGAGGGGAAGAAGATGAATTAATTCATTTGGGACCCTTTAAGTTTGACAGCCTGGTAGGAGTATAAGGCGGCAATGGGAAAGGTGATCTGGAATGCAAAAATATGACTGGAGCGTATAGATTTTGGAGTCACGGGCATATAGATGCTAACTGAAGTCGTAAGTGTTGACAAGATGTTCCAAGGAGTGTGTATGGCATCAGAAGTGGTAGGATCCGGGTTAAATAATTGCTAAATAAGCACCAATTATGTTCTCTGTGGTCTCCTAGGAACTGGGGGTGCAGTGATAACCAAGGCCAGACAGAAATACCCCAGCCCTCATGGAACTGACGTTCTTGGGGAGGATCCCCAAGGAGGCATGGGGGACAGAATTCAGTGCTCCTTCCCTTTCCCCTGGCCCCAACACGCCATCTCCACTTGTTCCGTTTCCCATCTAGGCATCTGTTGGAAAACCCCGGTCTCCTCCTGCCTTAGGAGAGAGGACCTTGTTGTCTCTCATTCTCCACAAGTACCTCTGCGTTTTCTTTTTCCGTCTGTCTGAAAAGGCAGTTACCTCCCTCTGGGGCTGAGATGCAGAAAACCAAAGTCACTTCTGCTTTTCTTTTTCCTGAAATACAGATAGAGCTTCAGAGATCCAAACTTGAAAATCAGGACCCTCAAAACAATAAGCAGTTGTAAGTACTAATGAAAGCTGTGACCTTGCTGTTCTGAAGCCTGCAGAAGCTCATTAGCTCTGTGCAGCAGAACGAATCCTTGTCGGCGTCGGCAGGTCAGACCAGCGAAACCTACAAGGGTTTTGTCACTTCTCTGGGGAGATGCTGTAATGGGCAAAGACACCGCTCCCTGCTCTGCATATATTTAAAGCATCTTGCAGCTACGTTCTCTAGCAGTCTCCTTTTTCCAAGGCCAAAACTGAAGTGCTGTTTGTTTTGGGTTTTTTTTTTTCACAGTCTTTTCTTGCAGAAGGAAAAGCATTAGTTTATTTGGCTGTTTCTTATGGTTACTAGTATAGAGTTGTTCAGATTGATTAAAAAAACAGTCCATTCTTAAATTTTGAAAGAAAATAGAAGGCTCACGTATGGCGATTGATGGCATGTGGCATTTAAATGGGAGCTCACTGATTTTTCAGTTCACAGAAAATGGCAATCATTTAGCCGTGGTCCTTGGTAAAGAAGAAATCATTTGAGGTGTGGAAACAATTTTGCTGCTCAGAGATATCTCATAGACCCAGGATCACATATATAATAGCAAAGCTATTTCAGTAGATCACTTGAAAGTATGTTAAACTTTTAGTTTTGGATAATTCATTTTATATAAAAGTTTAACTCTCAAAAAGATTTCCCTTGCCACCTAGCATATCATTGGTCATGTCTAAATATACAGTCAGGAAAATTTTTTTAAATCTAATGTTAGTCTAAATCAGATACAGTTACTTAAATCAACTAGCAATGTAGGCGTAAGAGAGAGACAGTACATTCAGCAGGCATCTCTACTTTTATTCTTGGAGTTGTCATATTCTTGGGATTATTCGTAAAGTTGACCACTTCATTAGTACAGCAGTTGTGTTCTGCTCTTCAACTATTAATCAATACCTTTTTTTGTTTTAAAGATTGGCACCTGAGCTAAAGCTGTTGCCAATATTCTTTTTCTTTTTTTTTTCTGCTTTTTCTCCCCAAATCCCCCCAGTACGTGACTGTATATTTTTTTAGTTGTGGGTCCTTCTAGTTGTGGCATGTGGGACGCCGCCTCAACATGGCCTAATGAGCAGTACCATGTCCGCATCCAGGATCTGAACCAGCGAAACCCTGGGCCGCTGAGGCGGAGCACGCGAACCCAACCACTCAACCGTGGGGCCGGCCTCTTAACCAATATTTCTGCACAAGGTAGATCTTAAAAGAAACCAAGCAGATGGCTGCTTTACATGGTGAAGAAGGCAGCCTGGTCCCCTAAAATTCTTTGTTTTTTTCTCTAAAGATTGGCACCTGAGCTAACATCTGTTGCCAATCTTTTTTTTTCTTCTTCTTCTCCTCAAAGCCCCTCAGTACATAGTTTTACATTCTTGTTGTAGGTCCTGCTATGTGGGATGCTGCCTCAGCATGGCCTGATGAGCAGTGCTAAGTCCATGCCCAGGATCTGAACCGGCGAAACCCTGGGCCGCTGAAGCAGAGGGCGCAAACTTAGCCACTCGGCCAGGGCGCTGGCCCCTCCCCTAAAATTCTCATGACTAGAATTCTGAAGCTAGAGCTTTATCCCTTTCGTTTGCGAATCTGGCTCTTTCAAAGACAAATCCCTCAAGGAAAGATAATTACGTGTGTGTGTGTGTGTATGTGTGTAAGATGGAAGATTGGCCCTGAGCTAACATCTGTTGCCAGTCTTCCTCTTTTTTGTATATGGGTCACTGCCACAGCGTGGTTCAGTGAATGCTATGTCGGTCTGCCCCCAGGATCTGAACCCATGAACTCTGGGCCACTGAAGTGGAGCATGTGAACTTAACCACTACGCCACCAGGCCAGCCCCGGAAAGATAATACTTTAAACTAATATAAGTCGCCTTCTTATAGTCCAACATGAAAGAGTAGGTAAAAGCCATCAGTTGAGAACGTCCTTATTAGTTCCAGTACCAACCATACAAACCTACATACAATGCGCTCTATCCTACTTCCCTCGTATCTCGGTAAAGACTGTCCCGCCTCCATTTGAAAGATGAGGCCTTCTCTGTCCCTTGGATCCCAACCTCTCCTGCCCTCTCAGGATGCCCACACTATCAGTTGAGCCTTCTCCCTCCTTATATATTTAGCTTCTCACCACCACCACTTAGTCTGGATTCTTTCCATTAAACACATTCCGTCTTCTCCCGTTGAAAAATATAAACCTCACTGGAGCCTCCTTCACCTCTAACTCTCTTGACCCCTTCAAAGCCAGGCTTCATGGGAGAGTCCTCCCTACTTGTTATGTCTGTTTTCTCACCTTTGTTCTCAACCCTCTCCAGCCTGGCTTCTCTCCCCACACCCCTGAAAGGGCTCTAGGGGAGGTTGCTAATAACCTGCCCAGTGCTAAACCCAGTGGGCTTTTTATCAGGCCTCATCTGACCTCTCAGCAGCACTCAGCACTCCTTGTTGACCACACCCATCTGCTTACTTTGCTTCCATGATGCGACACTCTAGTTTTTATCCTGCCTCCATGCACTGCCCCTCCTCGGACTCCCTGTCAGGTTCATCTTTCTTCGTCTGAGTGTTAAGTATTAGAATTCTGTAAGGATCCATCCTACGCCCTGTCTTCTTCTCATCCTATATGCTCTCCATACTCCTGACTTCAAATATTATCTATATTGCAGACTAGTCACAAATTTCTGTTACTGGCCTGGATCTCTCATCTTTATATATATCCTGCTGCCTACTTGACATCTTCACTTTGATGTTGCAAAAGCATTCTGACTCAACAGATCCAAACCAGACTTGTGGTTCCCTTCCACCCTTCCCCCATCCTCCACCAAGATGCCCCAGTCCCCTTCCAGTGCTCTCTGTCTCATTGAACAGCATTACCATCCATCCAGTTGTGTGAGTTAGGAAGCCTAAGGGATATCCTATATACCTCCTCCTTCTCCCTCTGTCCATATACACTGTGTCTCCATGGTCTGTCAACTTGGCTTCCTAAGAACTTGCACATCTACCACCATAGCCTAGCCCAAGTGTCCACTGTCTTCCCAGGTGTGCAGTAGCTTTCTAAGGCTTCTACTCAAACTACCTCTTGCCTCCCCCACTCCATTCTCCATACAACAATCAACGTGATCTATTGTAAATCTGAAATATTCATTCACTGCCTGCTCCCACTCACTCTAAACTCTTCAGTGGCTCCACGTTGCTCCTTGAAAAAAGATGAAAATCCTGAACTCAGCTTACATGGCTCTCACGGCCTGGCCCCTGCCTTACTTCTCACCATCCTTCTTCCCTTGCTCTCTCAGCCCCAGCACCTTGGCTTCCTCCATCCTTCAGATCTGAGCACAGTGTCACTTCCTCCTTTCCTGGTGTCCTAATTTAGTCAGATCCCAATGTTATTGTCCCAGGTGCATCAACATGGACACCCTAACAAAAGTTACATTTTATTCTTATTTCTGTGACTGTGATTAATGACCGCCTTCTACACCCCCGTTCTAGTCTTTAAGTTCTAGAAGGACAGGACTTTGATCTGTTTTTGTTCATCACTATACCCCAGTGTGTAACACAGAACCTGGCACAGAATTGTGTGCTCAAAAATAATTTGTTATGTGAATGAATGAGTTTACATTTGAATGTGGCTGAGTATATAGCATCCATTTTTAAGGACAGGTTTGACAGGAGTGAGAGAGAACAGGAGTTATGACATAATTTTAGGGACTTGAGAAGAGTCCAGGGGGTAGAGTCAAGACAGAACCTCAACAAAAACTTTATCTCCTTCACGATTTTGCCTGGCACTCAACCGCACCTTCCACATATCTACTGATCCGTTTTTGGCTGACCCTCTTGATAACCAAGCTGAGATGCTGCAAGAATCTGGAGTGCCTCCTAAAATGCCCTGAAAGCCTAAATCCTGTCCAATTTGCTTATCATTTTGAGGACATTTTATTATAGTCTAGCTTTTGAAAATTGTTGATCCAATTGTAACGTGCACATTTGATCACTCACGTGCACCTCCGGGCTGTGAGCTCTCAGGAACTGTCGGTGCCCAGTCCTCAGTAGGGTTGTTAGTCAATGGTGGGTAGATTGGTGGATGAAAGAAGGAAAAGGAAAGTTAGGGTCCTTGTGACTTGATGATCTCACCCAGGGCTCGCAACCTCAGAGACCCACAAGGGCCAAGAGTGATTGGAAAGGAAGAAAGCAGGACAGATGTCACCGTGCTCACACGTCGTATCTGAGCGGGTGCTGGGGACTGGGCTTACTGGGACCCACACGCCCTATCTACAGGCATTCAGATAAGAAAAAACTGTAACCTCTGAGCATCCAAGGAAAACTTGGAGAGTCAAATCCAGCCCACCAGACGCCAGTTTACAGCTTCTGACTAGTAGAGTGTTATGGTTGTCGTAGACAGAATAATTGTACCCCCAAAGATGTCCATGTCCTAATCCCCAAACCTATGAATATGTAACTTTTCAAGGCAAAAAGGACTCTTCAGCTGTGATTAAATTAAGGATCTCACAATGAAGGGATTATCCTGGATTATCTGGATGAACACAGTGTAATCACAAGAGTCCTTATAAGTGGAAGGCAGGAGGGTCAAAGTCAGAGAGAGATTGGAAGATACTATACTGCTGGCTTAGAAGAGGCACAGGGAGTGCAGGCAGCCTCTAGAAGCTGAAAAAGGCAAGGGAACAGAGTCTCTCCTTCCAGAAGGAACGCAGCTCTGTTGACACCTTGATTTTAACACAGTGAAACATATTTCGGAATTCTGACTGCCACAACTGTAAGATAATAAATTTGTGTTGTTTTAAGCCACTCAGTTTGTGGTAATTTGTTAGAGCAGCAATAGGAAACAAATAACAGTGGTTAAGAGTCTTCAGACTATAGAGACAGAAGGCCTGGGTTTCAGTCTTGGCTCTGTCACTTGCTAGCTGTGTGACCTGGGGCAAGGAAGGCAATGTTTTGTGCCTCAGTTTTCCCATTTGTATGATGGAAATGTTGATGGTACTACCTCAAGGGGCTGCTATGAAGATGAAGTGAATTAACATACATACCATTCTTACAACTATGCCTGCACATTATAGGCATTAAATCAACCTTAGCTTATTAAATTGCAGTTGTGCATTGCTTAACAATGGAGATACATTCTGAAAAATGCATCATTAAGCGATTTTGTGTTGTGCAAAACATCATAGCGTGAACTTACACAAACCTGGATGATATAGCCTACTGCACCTCTAGGTTATATGGTACTAATCTAATGGGACCACCATTGTATTTGTGGCCTGTCATTGACCAAAACATCATTATGTGGTACATGACTGTGCTGTTTATTATTTGCAGAGAAAAGAACATAGGCCCATAGGGGTCCAGTACCTTCTCCAAGGACAGTAGGTACAGAGCAGAGCAGAGCAGGACTAGAATGCAGCCCCCCTAAGTTCTGAGCTGTTTAGTGCTTTGTCATTACAATGCCACAATATCATTTTCCTACCGAATCTCATTTCAAAGTCAAAACAGCTAATTACAGCACATCCCCTTCGGGAGGGCTTAGCTAGATTTCATACCTATGCTTAGCCTTTATGTTCTCAGATCCTTTCATGAGAAATGAAACATAGAGGGCCTCATTTGAAATCATGTGTGTTTGACTGTAAGGCTGCCTAGTTAATAGCAGAGTTTTCTCTGGTTATAGTGCAGCCACTCATTGTTTTGTCTCCTCCAAACATGACCCATAAGAAAAACAAAAAGCAAAAGGCCAGCACAGAACCAGGCAACACATCTGGTAGTGGAATAAATGGGCTGCTCGGCACAAGCCAGAGGGCAAACGTTCTGGGGACACTTGTGGGGGTACAACATTGGCCCTGTTTCCAAGATGCAAGCTCCACCTTGAATCCGAAGGGGTTTTTCAAAACATGCTGCCCCCAAAACCCTAGCTTCATTTTAAAGCCTGGGTCTTATAAAGGTGCCATAAGCGGTCCCATAAGGGTGGCTGTGCATCCCTATAAAAGAAACAAGTATTCTTGAAAATAAATTGAAAGGTGAGGCCTAGCCTCTAAGACGCTCATTCCCGGTGGAGTCAGTAGCTGCATTCCAGACCTATGACATCAATTTGCTCAGTCCTGTAATCTCAAGTTTCCTCCTACAGTATGAGATTGGTATTTTAGAAAGGACTTAAAGACTGCTGAGTCCAAATTTAGAACCTCCAATATTGTAAATTTCCAAATACACAGCTGGCCCTTATCAATGGGGATAAATAATGCCATAATGGGATGTTTTGAGGAGAAAATGACTAATGAATGTGAAAATGTTCTTAGAAACTTAAAAACACCTTGGAACAATTCCCAGCAGTTTCCAGGGTGCTATAAATTTTACAGACATATATCTGACCAAAAATCTTTTCTCTGGCATTAAGCCTGTTCCCTATCTATAGCATAGACGGTGATGAAATTGGGGTAGCACAGATCAGTTGTTTTCTGGCCCAGGGCAATAAAGAGAACTAAAGTGAGAGTAAGCATTGGATTTAAAATATTTATACTTGGTGACTCCACGGACTTTATATTTCCACTCTAGCTCTCTCTTCAGATTCCATGATGCCAACTGTGGACACTAGTTGCCGATATTTGGGAAGGGCCTGCAACTTCTGCCTCTAGGAGAGCACTCCTTCCACCTCTTAGGTCCCAGTGGAGGACTCTGAGAAGCCTCAGACTCCTCCTACCATTTTCTCATCTCACACACACCTCATTCCAATGGGTGAAGCAAAATGCTGAATAATTGCAGGGTTGTTAAGTAATTTCCAAGAACTTCAAAAATGCACTGTGAGTGCTGAGGCCCATTGTTTTTGTGTTGATCATTCCTGGAACTTTGTATAGGCATACAAGCATGTAATTCTCCTCTTTGGTGCCCTCCTCGTTCTCTGGAGATTTCTATCACTATGGGGTGCCCATCCGTTGTCTGTCCCCACCCCCTTCTGTTGCATCATAGCAGGTTCGTGCCCCTGCTATGATGTTTCACTTGTTATGACTAAATTATATGCCCAGTATCAGGAGTGTCATTTCTGTTCTTGTTCATTTGTCATTCCATGTCTAATAAGGCTCTGGTGGTAATGGGTGGGGACGAGAAGAAGAGCAGCTATTGTTCTTTGCAGACAGACGCGCTCTCCCATGTCTCCCTGGGGCCATGAGCCTCTTTGTGTTCCAACTGGGTCTGCACAATCAGGGCAAGAAGCAACCTCTAGCCTCAGGGTGGGGGAGAAAGGCAGAGGCCACGTTCCTGGAGTTAGGAGGCCACAAGGAAAGAAAGGGACTTCTGTGAAGAGACGAGTCCACTTGCCTTGAGGCACCGGAGGAGCAGGGCTGGGGAGGGGCCAACGAAGTGAGGAAGGCGGAGGGTCAGCTCAGTGTGACATGACGCATGGTGCCTTTCCTGGGGTTGAATTTGAGGAACCGAGGAGGCGGTGGTAGTGAGAGTCAGTCTTTCAGAGCACAGGATGGAACAAGAACTCCGGCCACTGACTCTGTCTCATGTATCTACAAGGGCTGAGGAGATTAATGACCCAAGGAGGATGTGATATGGTCCAAAAACTTCTCCTGGATTTTTTCCGCAGGCGCCTGAGCCAGAGGCCAACTGCAGAGGAATTGGAGCAGAGGAACATTTTGAAACGTAAGTGACTAAGCCCATGGCAATCGCTGATGTAGTGGGTGGCTTTGGTTAGTATTTAATTGTGGGCCACAAGGGTTCTGCCTTGTGCCTGTGTGGAAATGATTGAGAATCCCTCTGATGGTTGAGGCTTCATCCTTGCGTGTTAGAACATACAAGACAACCTCCCCATTGAGAAGGCAAATTCTCATCTACTTGGCTCCCTAGAAGCTCACGGACCGGAAGAGGAACCTTCCCTTTAGTGGGCTGTAAGGTCAGAGAAACTGAAAAATTACAGAGAAATTATTATTAAATGATTTGGAGGAGAGTTAGGTCACCTTTAAGCCAAAATTGGCTTAAAAACAGCAAATACTCTATTGATGGCTAATATAAGGCAAATAAGCCATTTGAAAACTGGGCCTTAGAAAACATGACTTTCCATTGCAGCTGGCTGCTGTTGATAAAATTCCCCTTCTCTTTTGAACGTTAAAGTCTAAGAAAGCAATTCCAAGTGGAAATGCTCCGTGTCCGTCTCTCAGGACTCCCACAACTGGGCCATGGTATGCCGGCCTGATGCTCTCATTCAAGAAAAACTCAGAACTGCCACTGTGCCTGTGGACAGAAAACATAAATGAGCCTCTTGTTTGGTTCAGGACACAGAGATATTTGAATATGTACAGAGAATCCATTTGGTGCTTAAAATATATATGTATAAAATACACAAATTAAACCTCTCGTGGACATCAGTATGCCTCAGTTTAGTGGGAGATAGTCAATAATTAAAAATAAAACCTCTCTGCTCACATCTGCTCCATCATTACTGCCACTCTCACCCACGCTTTCCTCAAGATGGTCAACAAATAGTACTTTTAGTTTAATTCATGGCCCTTTTCTCCCCACACACACACCCTTTTCTAATTCCTCTCCGGCATAGAGAAATATCTGCTGTGCAGAGTTTCATGGAAATGCTATGCACGCACACACCCCAAGCACATGAAACCTCAGTTTGAGTGGCTGGGTATTTCCACTTAAACCAAACTAAAGCGTTCTTGATTTTACGTTTTTACCCGTCCTCGTTGTGGTCTTGTGACTTGGTCAGCACTGAATGGTTTGCTGAGAGTGAGCTGCGAACTTCCCCCAGGGAAGGCTGCGGTGGGAGGTTTGTCGTCTGCAGCCTCTCCAGTGTGCCCATCTGTGAACTGTTGGCCTTTATCAACATCCTGCCTGCCTGGGCCAGGCCAGCCGCCACTTCCCCAACTCTCAGCGGTGTTATTTTCAGGATTGGCCTTCCTCAGTTCTGAGGGCACCTCATGTATATCCTAGGTCTCTAGGAATTCGTCTGTATGTTTTTTCTAACCAAGGGATGCCCATAAAAGTTTCTAAGCTTAATATGCTACAAAGTGGGTTAGAACTTTTTCAGATGATTCCCCTGATCAGGGAAGCACTTGGCCTGTGTGATGTCTCCCTTTCTGCCCCAATCTGATACCTGGTCCATTCTAATCTTTCCACTATTCAAGAGAAAGAAAAACAGAAAGGTGTCCATTTATCCCTAAAATCAGAAATCGGGTGCATGTGCTTCCTTCTGTCTCTGCCACTTCACCCCCCGCGCGTGCCTAACACCGATCTGTCATCTTCTGAAGGAATCTCTGTATAATTTACTCAGGGGGCCACACTGTACTTGGGGCCTCCAACCTGACTCCTAAACTGAAAGAAGCTGAAAACTTCCGGGCGATTATTCAGATTTCAGAAAATAGTGCTCCTCTCAGCAGGGGCGAGGGTTTTAGAAAGAGAAGATATAAAGTCCCCAGCTCCCGTCTGGCTTCCTGAAGGCCCCAGCCCCCACTTCTTGCTTGCCCAGATCCGTGGGAGATCACAGGCAGTGGCCTCGTGGTAGGCGTTGATTGCCATCCAGAAACACTGAGATCTCAGAGACAGTTGCTTGAGTCTAGTAAGCCTGGGGGCTTAGAGTCAGGGGACCAGAGTGGGCTTAAAAGATTGTCACCTGGTTCCTTTTCGTCCTTTCCCCTCTTCTTTCTTGTCTTGTTCAAACAGCTGCAGATTAAAGAACTGCTTGGCCAAATTCAAACAGGTTGATCATTTCTGTGTCAAAACTTTTTGGAGAGGAACTTATTTTTCCCATTAGTTCTTATTTTTTTCCCTGCATCCTGGAACTTTGTTTTCTTAAATAATTTTTTTTAACCTCGTCTGCTTGTCAAACAAGAAGTGTTTAGTGGTATAAGAAAACACCTCAAGCCGTGTATTCTAAAACTTATTTTCTGGGCTTTCAGTCATTTGAGAAACCATCTCTCTGAGGATACTGGAGAGTGGTACACAGAGACGTCATCCTTGGGTGATGGAGCTTGAGAGGCTGCCTCTGGCTCCCAGCCCCACCCTGCCCAGCCCAGGTGGCACTTGCTTTGTTCAGCAGCCAATGAGACACTGTGCACGTTTGAGCACATAATGAGCTCACTCTGATGGTGGTAGCAGATGATGACAACGTTGTGGGCCTTTCTTGGCCTGTCCTCCCAGTTGCCTAATGGGGTTGTCTTGGTACCCTCAGCCTGAGAATTCATGACCTTGCGTTTGTAAATGGCTTTGAACTAAAGGTATAGATGCCATGGGTGGTAGCTTGGGGCCCTGCCCCTCAGAGGGACCAAAGAAAGGCCCATCAGAGATGAAGGCTCTGTGCTTGGTCACAGAATGCTGACCTTCATGGCTGGGAAACGGGGCCTGTAGGATGAGGAGGCCCCGACTAGAGTCTGAGGCCAGTAACCCGTAATGAGGAGGAGGGCCGGCCCCAAGCAAAACATGACAGGGGAAGAGGCAGCGTGTTCTAGTGAGAGAACTGTTTGTCTGACTAACTAGCCGTGTAGGGTGTGACCAGCCACTTCACTCCCCTGGGCTTTCACATCCTCATTTACAAACAGTGGTAGACTAGGTGGTCTCTCGGCCTTTTATGGTCCTAATAGCCTGTGAGTCTATACATTTTAATCAAGTGTCTTGCCCTGCCTCCTGGGCACCCACCATCCAGACTAGACGTTTCCTCCCATCCTCCCTCCCACCTGCAAATACACCTGTCTGGGGTCTCCCTTCTTCTGGGTTTTGCTGTCTGCCTCCCGATTTACCTCCGATAGATTAGTTCATACTAAGATATTAATGGCTGACTAGTTTAATGGGTTTTATCCAAGAGAATTTGCATATTTAAAGGGAACTCTGGGAGGGAGAGAGGATTTTTAAATCCACAGGAAAGAGCTCTCACGTTGGGGTTTGGAGCACTGTGGGGCCAACTGCAGCAGGGACCTCTGGGGACCTTGGCCCACTGAAGGATGTGGGCATTTCTTGTGCTGCCCCCATACAGGATCCTGAGCCCCAAAGGCAGGCAGAGCAGCAGCCAATTCGTGCCCCTGGGGGTTTCACTCAAGGGCCTGAGTTCTGCTCTCACCTGCCAGCATCCCTTCTAGTGGGAGGTGTTGCCACCGGCAGCGTGAGTTGGGTGTGGTTGTGTTTGCTGCTGTGAGAGCTGGCAGGGAGGGGCAGGGCGGGACCCCACTTCTGTGCACAGGGGCTTCCCTCTTTTAAAGATCTGTCCTGTACTGAGGTAGCTGGATTGCAAGTGTGCACTGATAACGATAAGTTAAGTTATTGAAACATCATCTAATAACAGTGATTTCAAAATGGGAGAACGAGTGCCCGGGGTGCTCTTAATGCACCCTATGCCAGATCAACTGGAAGCAGCTTCCTTGTCCTAATGCCATTCTAAATTCAGTGGGTGAGAATCACAGGCCTTCTTTGGCACAGGTTGACTTCCGTGATTTCCTTCAAGCTAGACAATGTAATGCTTATATCCATGCTTCCCTTCCAAGGCCCAGAAGGAAAGTGATGTACCTGAGGTCGTTCAGGTAGCTTAAAGGAGAAACAAGCCCACGTTGTCTGCCCCACAGATCTCTGCTCTCTTCCCCAGGTCTTTTACCTATGGCTCTATAAACATCTGATGAATAACTCACCCCACATATTAAACTGAGAACGTTTAGGCTCGCAGTCTGCTCTAAGACACTCCTTAAAAGTCTAGATGCAGGCAGTTGTATCCCACGCTCTGGCCTCACACGTGTTCTGTGGACTTCTTGGAAGATTCAAAGAATTAATGGAATCAGGGCTTGCGAAAGGTGAGCGTTTTGAAACTCCTCTTCCTGCAGCCAGCCTTGCGTTTGGCAGTAGCTGTGCCTCCTTTTGTTCCTGCAGCAGGTGACAGGCAACCCCGAGGGGCCAGTCTTCTGTTCTACCCCACAGTGCACCAGACACAAGGCCGCATCACAATGAGCCCCCTTCAGTTGCCATGAGGCTCCAGGCAGAGTTGAGCGAGGCCCAAGGCTTGTCCAAAGAAGGGAGCCTCACCTCTCCCCAGATGCCCTTGTCACTCCTAACAGCACCCCCACGCCTTTAGGACCCACCTCCTTGCGTCTTGGCCACATTTCTCAACTCAGCATTTCCTGAGACTTGAAACCCCAGGTGACATAAAGAAAACAGAATAAGGTCAACCTGCT